TCAAGCAAGCAAAGCTAACGAAAAACAGGAAAAAGCAAAACCACACATTATAGTTTGGCACCATCATGGAGAGAGAGTGAGGAAACTTATGTTTAAAACAGAAAGTAAAAAAAGGCTCATGTATCAGAAGAAAGCTAGAGTAACAGGGTTGTAGAATATTAATTTGAGTTTCCTACAGGAGAAAAATCAGATTGTAGGATATTGCAAGACCTTGCAAATGAGATTTGTCTCACTTTGGTAACCTTTGACAAGTTGTGGAAAATAGGAAAAGTCAGAACTAAAGAGGGAAAACTATTCTGATTTTCAAAAAGAATAAACATGATTCCTAAATGTAGGCTATTATTTCACAGAAACATTTTAAGTTGTTCTAATAATACTCTAAGTCTAGAAAACAAGGTGAAAACCTAGCATTAACAGTTGCCTTGTAAAGGCCACTACCACAGGTGCTGTCTCAGAGTAGATTTGCTCTGTTCTCTGGTCTCCCAAAGGCTGCAGACTGCTTTCTACTGCTTCTTTAGCCTGAGTTTCCATTGGCATTCAGCCATTGAGAGACACTTATGAGAGGCTAGGAATGGGTTGAAGAGAGAGATCAGGTGCAGGGAACTAGGGAGGAGCTATCAAGGTAAACTGCTACTCTCCCATGTACCAGCTGCCTCCAGCTAGGCCCCACATGCTTTTAGCTTCCACTAGGGACCTGACCCTTGGGCTTCAGGAATATTCTTTACCCCCTTTGCCTCTACCATAGCTTCCCACTGTTGCTGGTCTCTGTATTTCCTCACCATTTCCTGTTTAAGTGTCTTTTCCATCACCTATTTAACAAGCCTATTCCACCCACTGAATTCCCTCTGTTGGGTGTGCCTTAAGTTGTTTCTGATCACCTGTTTAAACTTTAACTAGTCCATAAGTGAGCTTCATTTTCTTGAGTGATTATTATTGATATTTTTTTTTAAAGCGAAGAAAATGCTGTTTGGCATTATTGGCTTACAGCATGTAGTATCAAGATTTCGGATTTCACCAAGACGTCTTTTTATGTGTATGAGGGCTTTTTTCTGCATATGTGTAAGTACACCACATGTATGTAGTACCCAAGGAGGCCAGAAGCAAGCATAGGTTATTTGCTACCATGTGGTGCTGGGAACTGAACCTGGGTCTTCTGCAAGAGCAGCCAGTGCTCTTAATCACTGAGCCATGTTCTCCAGCCCCTCGCCAAGACTTTTGACATTTAATCTTAAAATGTCTCTCTGAACAGAATGGGAAATCTCCTTAAGAAGGATTATAAAACCTTCTTAGACTGCTGACGTTTAGTAATATTTAAACAACCCCAGATGAAAGGACTCTGAAAGTTTAACATAAGACTTGGCCTTGACTATGGCCTACTCAGCATTGTTACCAAAATTTAGGCAGTCATGAAAAATAGCTCTATCAAATGTGTGGGTAGCGCAAAGCTTGAAGATAATTCAGACTTCGATAGAGGTGAGCTTTATATGGGGAAATGAGAAGACTTCCATCTAAGTACAAAAGGTAAATTACAGAAATGGAGACTTGGAGAAACCAGCTCCTACTATATTTGGTGGATAAAGAAATCTGGTACTTTTTTTACCTCTAAGCCCCATTAAAAACTACCCAGTGCCCCTACTAGCTGACACAGTTCTCCCTCTCATCTGCTACTTTACAAGATGGCTAAGAGCATGGTTCAAGAAGAGCATTGCCACACAGAAGGAGAGCGTTATCCATTCTCCCTAGTCTTTATGGAGCTCATATTATTTATAAGTTGTTTGTTCACATTTGTTAACTTTTGCCTCACAGTACCCCAATGGATGCTGTACTGTTAACCCATTTCTCAGCCTCTTTTGGTTCCTGTAGGCTCAAATCTTAGTTCTTTAGCTCACTCTCTGACTTTAGTCAAGCACAGGTGTTTGATTATGAACCCAGTTCTTTTAATAAAGCTTGTTCTCACTTTGGAAAATATGACAAATAGGGAAATCAATTTTTGCTCAATATTAAAAATTCCACATAGCCCTGCCCACTAATACAGTAATGTGTTCACTGTCTTTGTGCAGAAGTTGATTAACTCTCAGAAAGACTGTAGTAACATGCACTTCCATATCTGGAAGAAGGTTCTGTTATGCAACTCAGTGACACCCAACTCTGGGTCTGATTTGGGTTTTGGCTAGTGAATAGATTGGTGACTTGTGGTTTTTAATTCAGATATACTTGTCTTTTATAATTTTATCCTAGCAATATAATTGTTTTTCTTATAATTTAGGATTCACATACTCTATTCTGGAGGAAAGTCTCAGAGTCTGTAACGAGGAACTAACGCATGACTGGCGTTTAGTGTAAATACCTACACAAGAAATATGATGCTATTTCCCAGAATATGTCCCCACAGTGAATGCCTGCACATGTTCCATTTCACTCCTAGCTTGGAATCCTATTGTGGGTGGTAAGGAGAATCATTGTGAAATATATTGAACAGAGAATAGAGTTTGCAAAGTATTATTAGGTTTTCTAAGTTGAATCTGTGCAAATGCAAACTGTCAGCCTAACACTGCAAAACCCAATGCCTACATGATATGGAAGGCCACCAGAGTGACAGTGCCTGCCAAATCATAAAATTTACCTTGAGGATGTCTTTCTTGAGGATGGCTACTCTCTAGAACCAAATGGGATAGTTATTTATGAAGAGCTAGAATCGTTGAAAGAGGAAAATTATTTCAAATTTGATACAAAAACAGCAGATTTTTCCCATAAGAGTAAAACTTGCAGGGAAGAATAAATGTCAATGTTTTAGCATTAACTCATGATAGACAGCATTGTGCTTTGGGCATATTTCTGGTTACATATAGTAAAGAGGGCTAGAGAGATGGCTCAGTGGTTAAGAGCACTGCCTGCTCTTGAAGAGGACCTGGGTTCGGTTCCTAGCACCCACATGGTAGCTAACAGCCATCCATAACTCCAATTTCAGGGGATCCAGCACCCTCTTCTGACCTTCATGGGCATTGCATGACATAGGTGCACTTACATACTTGCAGGCAATACACTCAAACATAAAATAAAAATAATAAATAAAAATATTTTTTTAAAAAGAAAGAGCTCAACCCTCAGAGTTACTTGCTAAGTTTTAAAAGTTAACTTCCAGACTGGAGAGATAGCTCAGCAGTTAAGAACACTGGCTGTTCTTGCAGAAGACCAGGTTTGAATCCCAGCACCCACATGGCAGCTAACAGCTGTCCGTAACTCCAGTTCCAGGGGATCTGACAGCCTCTTCTGTCCTCTGCAGGCATTGCACGACACACGTGCACTTAGCTACATACAGGCAATACACACATACACATAGAATAAAAATAATAAATAAAATAGTTAAAAATAAATAATAAATAAATAAATAAATAAATAAAAGAGCTTTTATGAGTTCCTGTCCATTGTAAATCCTTCATGTTTCAAATCTTCCCTGTGAATGCTTGGAAAGGCTGGACACCATTGTCAGCTTCTTTTTTTTTTTTTTTTTTTTAAACTGTGGTATCTGCCTCTCCAACCCCTCCAATTTCTTCCCAGTCTAATCATAGCATAATTCTCTCAGAAGGGTTTGTGATGCATTGAAAGTACTAAGGAAAAAAAAGACAGAACATCTGATACTTAATCAGTCTATGGTCCACTTAAAAATGAATTTTATAATTGTTAACAATCTCTGACAATTAGCCATTTGATAGATAATGATTTTGTAAGTTGACAGAATGGTTTCCTACTCCAGTGCTTGATTTTCTACTGACTTATCCCTTCCATATTTCTAATACACAGTAAATTAAGTATGTTATAGCTTAATGCATCCTATACTGCCCTTGACCAAAGCAGTCATCAGCCTCTTGGTAAATTCCTCAAACTCAGAAACGTGACCCTATTGATTTTTATATCTTCAGTGTCCTTGGGGCCTAGCATTGAGAGCTTGCAGTTAAGTGTTTATAAATGGAAACTGAGATATTAAAAAAAAAATTAGTGTGATAAGTACAATTTCACCTCCTGGAGCACAACCTTAGAGTGAAGCTTCAAAGTAACAGGGAGCTGAAAAGAATGGTGACAGCTTTCCCCTTACACATCCTGTATGTGAAATTTGGGGGTTTGGAATAAAGAATTTTAAAAGTTGACCAAATTTAGAGCAGGTGTATTTTGATATTCAGAATTTTTCAAGCTCTAGAAAAATGATACTGGTACAGTAAATATATCTTACTCTATGTAATTTATCCAGTACATATTCAAATGCATGAATATTCTGGTAGCAAAAACATATAAACAGCAATAGTAAGTGTGATAAACTGCTTAAGACATTTGTTTCTGTTGGTTCAGGTTCAAATCTGCAGCCAAGTAAGTTCAGATCAGATTGGATTTGCCACCAGATGAGATAAAAGCTAAACAAATGCTTTGTTTTCAGATCCTTCATGTTTTTAGAGCTATCAGCAGGTATAGACCTATAATGTATATAGTATATGCTCAGTAATTGAAACCCTTTGTGTCATGTTTAATGAATCCTCATACCATGCCTAGTTTCAAATGGATAGAAAACATTGCTGCTGTTTTCCTTTTTCTCAGGATCAAACGTGAGAACAGAGTTCAGGGATGATTAAGCATTGCTTAACAGGCATCTATCTTATCTCAGCCTCTTAAAATCCCTGAAATAAGATCCTTATATTTTATAAAGGTCATGGGGCAGTGAGGAGTGAAATGCTGTGCTGCAAAATAGGTGCAAAACTAAGTCGAACTTGAGTCTTTCAACTTCAGAACCCATCCTCTATCATATCTAATTTCCATAGGAAAAGTTACTGATACTGCTGGAAAATGATTCAAAGATATGCTTGTGTAGAGTTTAATGAGGTTAGTTTGGCAGAAGCAAGCAGACGTTCTTATTTTTTTAAAGGGATGTAATTGAAAAGCTAAAACATTTTGATTAAAAAGTAAGGAAGATGTTTGGTGTGTTTCCTCTCATTTTTGCTTTAATTTTTTAGATGTGCCTGGCATCAGAGGGGGTGAAAATGGAAGAAACAAAACAAATTAAAGCAAAAGAATCAGATGTTGGAAGAATTAAAGAACTAGAGAAAGGGAAGGAAGAAAGAGAAATAAAAATGGAGAAAACAGATGAAGTCGGGTTACCAAAGGAAGCAGAATTTGAGAAATCAGCTAAAGAAAATGGAAGAGAGTCTAAGGACTTAAGAAATTTTGAGGAGCTACAAATGGATAATGTAATGGCTATAAAAATGGAAGACCCCAAAGAAATTAGAAAGGAAGAATTAGAGGAAGACCAAAAATATAGTCACTTCTCTGATTTTTCTTACTCTGCCAGTAGCAAGATAATAATCAGCGATGTTCCCAGTAGAAAGGACCACATGTGCCACCCTCATGGAGTTATGATCATTGAGGATCCCTCCGCACTGAACAAACCAGAAAAGACAAAAAAGAAAAAGAAGAAAAGCAAAATGGATCGGCATGGAAACGATAAATCTACACCCAAGAAGCCTTGCAAGAAGAGGCAATCTTCAGAATCCGATATTGAGAGCGTCATGTACACCATTGAAGCTGTTGCAAAAGGAGACTGGGGTGCCGACAAACTCGGAGAAACCCCAAGAAAGAAGGTCCGCACGTCCTCGGGTGGCAAGGGAAGCATTTTGGATGCTAAGCCACCAAAGAAAAAAGTGAAATCAAGAGAGAAGAAGATATCAAAGGAGAAGTGCTCAGACATCACCAAAGAGTCAAGACCTCCGGATTTCCTTGGTATTTCTGCCAGCAAGAGCATTTCTGGTGAGGTGCCAGAGGGTATAAAAGCAGAGCCATTGACCCCCACCGAGGATGCACTGCCACCCAGCCTGTCGGGACAGGCCAAACCCGAGGACAGTGACTGTCACAGAAAAATAGAGACCTGTGGCTCCAGAAAATCGGAGAGGTCTTGCAAAGGTGCTCTTTATAAAACCCTGGTGTCTGAGGGCATGCTCACGTCTCTGCGAGCTAATGTTGACAGAGGTAAGTGACTCTGCAAACTTGAAAAGAATACACAACCCAGCAGAATTTCTTTGTAGGTTGTCCTCAGGCTAGATGTATTCTAAGTAACTGAACCTTTTTGTTTTACTGGTATGGACTGCCTGTTTGAAGGATCAGTATCCAATGGAGCTTTTAGCTTGGTTTTAAACATTGATGCAATTTCCTGAATGAAGCAGATAAATTTGGCAGGATCCTTACCTGTAGGCTCCAGAAGCAAACACCATGTCTGGCCCTTAGAGGTAATCAAACCTCTAATTTAAGTGTTCTTTAAAACATGGTAGCATCTGTAGACTATTTCATATATATTCCTCTATTGTCGAGCATCTGGCTAGGGACCTATTTCTTTCCAGACTATAGTCCAACAAGAGATATGTGGTTCTTAAGTCAGATAATCCCTGAATGAAGAAAACTTGGGAGTACATAGTTCTCCAGGGAATGTCATTTCAGTGACTCTTGGGAAGTATAGAATTAATAGTGTCCATCAGCAAAGGACTCTTCTGCTTTAGCATGTTTCTGAACTAGAAAACAGTGGCAGCTAGCCTGCATCTTGAGTTCTGTAGTTAACCTGTTGAATTTTGACATGACTCCTTAACTTCAGAAATTCTAAGATTCTTTTTTGCAATCCCTTTATTAAAGGTAGTCTAACTTGAATCACTCTGAGGATTGATATTTATAAACAACATTGTAGGAAAGGTGTGGGGTCAAGAAGACACTTGTGAAGCTGCTGAACTAATCTCCCCCAACCCTAATATACTGAACACGTCCTTTCTCTTGAACTTCCTAGGTAAACGAAGCTCAGGAAAAGGAAATTCCTCTGATCATGAAGGGTGTTGGAGTGAAGAGAGCTGGACGTTTAATCAGAGTGGGACCAGTGGGAGCAAGAAGTTCAAGAAGACCAAGCTAAGAGAAGACTCTCTTCTTGGGTAAGTGCGTGTGAGCACAGTCCACCTGCACTGCATACCCTATTGTGGCAAGTTTGCCAGGTAAACATGAGGTACTAGCTGCTTATTTTTGTTTAGTTAGCATTTGGTTCAGTCTTAGTAAGCACTCTAGTGAGCACAAATTAAAGGTAATTACTTGATGCTGCTGTTAATCCACACCTATGAATAACATTTACATTTTAGGTACAGTAACAGTTGTATAGATTTTAAACTCCGGTCCGAGTTTGAATCGAAGTCTGCCACAGAGCAGTAGTGTGATAATCATAAATCCTTTATTATCTACCTGGAATGTAAGATGAATATTACTAGCATATTTATATTTTGCACATTTTATGTCTGTATTTATATTTTAATGCTGTTAATATCTCTAAATATATGTATTTATAAAATAATTTGTGAGCTGGGAAATATGAGGGGATAGAATGATGCTTCTACTTCTAATCTTAATTTATTTAAAATACTTTCTTGTATTCTCAGAAAAAAATACTAGGTTGACAATTCTGATACCCAGGGCATTCAACACATTATGCACTGAAATGTAGTTTGAAATAAGTATGGCACACATCACATAAAATCATTTAGGATGATTGCATGATTAATGGTATGCCAAAGACACTTTATAGCAATCAATAGAAAGCATTTTGTTAGTAAGTTAGGAGAGACAATACTTTATTGGTCAGAAAAATGTCTGCATATTCAATTGTACTGTTTTGAAAATCCTTTGAGATTTTTCATTAGCCTAATTTGAAAAGAATACATTGAATAGAAATAATTCTCTATATTTTTTCAAAAGTGGTTTTAAAGGTATGCAAATTTTATGCACTAGGTATATTGTGTGTGTTTTATTAATAATATTTGCATTTCTATTTGTGGAATAATGTAATACTTTTTCTTGGAAGTAAAGTGTTTTAAAGTTTGGTTAATTCTAAGATTCTAGGGCATTGTAAAGTGGGAAGGTGGAGGCTCCTCGATAATTTATACTGAAATAACAAATATGTTATTTAATATTTTTCATTTCTAATATTTTAAAATCCAAAGTACTTAAAATTAGTTTTATTTACATTATACTTTAAAAATTATTGGAACAGCGGGTGTGGTGGTGCACACCTTTAATCCCAGCCCAGGAGGCAGAGGGAGGCAGACCTCTGCAAGATCCAGGCCAGCCTGGTCCACATAGTGACTTCAGGTGAACTGGGACTACCAGACCCTGTCAAAAAAAGAGAAAGATATGCAAATCTTCCCATTTGTCATTGTCAAATGATACTGTCAAAAGTAGGTTGCCTTAAAAAAAAAAAAAAAAAAAAAAAGTGATCCTTGAGCATTTTAGACAATTCTGTGCATCTTCTGGGACCCCAAGGTTTTGTGAGTCTAAATACCAAACTGAGCTGATAGGGGGAGGCTCAAGGTAGAAGAAGGCAAGTGGTATTGCCTCTCTGTCAGCAAAAACTGGCTTTACTTTGCTCATTGAGTGTTTTATCCTCATTGGAGAGGTGACTCAGTTGGCAAAGGCTTTCTGTGCTAACATGACAACCTGAGTTTGGTCCCTAAAACCAACATAAAAAAAGCCGGTGTGGTAGCGTGCCCTTATAATCCCAGCACTGGAGAGGCAGAGACAGGCAGATACCTGGGGCTCACTGGCCAGCCAGCCTAGCTTAATTGGGAGCTCTAAGTCAAGTAAGAGACCCTGTCTCAAAAGCAAAAAATAGACAGCTCTTTAGGACCAATGCCTGAGATTGTCTGTCCTTTAGCCACACACATACACACACATGTGCTCACACACAAAAGGTGAGCAAGCAGTAAAGCTCTCCAGTAGAACTCTGATGCTTCCATTCTGAGCTGCCAAGTTGTCTGGGCATGTGGTGCATGCCTCTACCAGCACTTGGGAGGCAGAAGGGCTTACTAGAAAATTCTAGCTCAGCCTCAACTACATAGCAAGACCTGTCTTCAAAACCTAGCTTCATTAATTAAACTGCTGTTATAAGATATTTCACCAATCCATGAAAAACAGGAAGCATTCTCTGAAAATCCTTCCCTAAAAAGAGAAGTGGGGTGTATGTGTATGTGTATGTGTATGTGTATGTGTGAGTGTGTGAAACCCAACACTTCTGAAGCTTCTCTCCTCCCCACATGCCTTCCATTTTCTGTCTACCAAGCACAGCAATTTTACAACTTCCCCCGGCTGTCTGCAGTGTACCTCAGTTAGTAATTCTCACTGAATGAAAGCCAGCAGCCAGCCTAGGATCCAGCAGGCATGCTGCCATTGCTGAATGGGGCCCTAGGAGACAGTCAAAGCCAGCACAAGGAGTTCCTGATTTTGCCAGAGGCATTTTTTAAGTTATTTGTGGTTTTCGGTTAAAGCTGCATTGCCTCTCTGTCAGCAAAAACTGGCTTTACTTTGCTCATTGAGTGTTTTATCCTCATTGAATCAACTCATTTTTCTTAGGACTACAATTTTGTATACTTTTAAAATTTGTTTATGTTTTAATCAAACATTGATCAGTAAGTATTAAAACTCAGCTTATAAAACTCCCAGTAGATTAAATTACCAATAAGCTTGCTAATACATGTGCATGCAGATGAATGTTTAGAATGAGAACTGTCAGAATAGAGTATACTTTGCACTCAACTTTATGGTGATTTCCCACCACACGAGTGAAAGAAAATGGTAAATTCCCCCCTTCAAACATTCTAATATTTTAAATATTTCTGTTTTCCTAAAGTGGTTAGAAGACCTGCATGTAACATTACAAGAAAAACTGTATTGGTAAATCTTCTAAAGAATTTCTAAAAAGGTGTTTGTTTAAAATGCTGTAATTCCTAGAGAGGACCCTGGTTTCATATTGAATATTTAAAAATACATTATGGAGCTGAAGAGATGGCTCAGCAGTTAGGAGCACTGGCTGCTTTAGCAGAGGACCTTTTTTTGGAGGCTTAACTCCAGTTCCAGGGAATCCAATGCCCCCTCTGACCTCTATGGGCATTGTACAACACAAGTACACTTACATATATACACTCATACACATAAAATTATCATTTTCTGTTTCAATATTTGATCATGTACTTTCTGATTCCCTTTTTTTCGTTTGGAAAACCATTTTAATTCTGTCTTTTCTTCAGATAATTAACTCTACATTCATTTGTTATAAAGTACTTTGTAACCCTGACCCTAACCCTCTCCCTTTCAATAGCTCTGCAAAGCTGGATGAAGAATTTGAAAAGAAATTCAACAGCCTCCCCCAATACAGTCCTATTGCATTTGACCGGAAATGTGTATCTATCCCAAGGAAAAAGAAGAAGACTGGAAACATGTCCTCAGAACCTACCAAAACCAGCAAAGGTGAGCTGTGTCCTCCGCCTTTCCTTCAGTGCAGTCAGTCTCAGCTGAAGATTAGCTAGAGCAATCAGGTTTAGAAGCGAGGCAGTAGGGAGGAAGACTGAGGTTGCTTTCCGCGATCACCTCGAGTCCTGCCTCCTTCCTACTTTCTTTTCTCCTTAATTCTGCTTCTGTCCTTTGCATTTTGGTTCATACATCTGCCCTTAGAGGTGTAGCCAGACTTTTCAAATGTATTATACAACATGGTCATTGACCTACTGCTCCCCAGATCTCTCATTTAGAAAACTGAGATTTTGTTGAGCAGAGACTGATGACTAATTCTTCTGTTCCTCAAGTGTAAAACAGAATGAACTGTGGCACTGTAAAAACCCTTTTTGCCTGAGAAGCAGACTCTGTTCTTTATTATCAGAATGGACCAAATGAAAGTAAACTGCTTGTTATTCTCCAGCAATGTATTTATTCATTTTATTTGATTTTAGTGCTGTGTTTACATATTAATTTTCAAGAATATCAGCTTCTCCACATCTATATCAGGGAACCAGTTCAAATTACCAGTGTGCCCTGAGTTGATCTCAGCACTCTGTCAGGGACATTCCAGTCTAACAGGGGACTTTTATGGGTATTGGGGCATTTTCAGTGGTCTTCACACCTGGGACCATTGTTGACATTTGTGGAACAGGGTCTGGGTGCCAGGCATAGGCTGCATTCAGGCCACTCAGACACAGTAAAGGATTGCCTACCCAGAGTGGCAGTATTGCTTTCAGTGACAACTTTGCCTTTTGATTTCTCTTTAGGTCTAAAGATTGATCAGGAAAATATTCCTCTAGTTTTCCACACAGACACAAAGACTCCATTCATTGAGCTGCCATCCCATTGAGGGATGGGAAGTAGAAAGGTGAAGGACAGATGTGGCTGAGCTAGAGATGCTTTCAGGTCAAATTCTGAGCAAGATTTGGTAGACACGTTCTTGTAATTATCTTGTGAAAGTGACTATCTTGTCCCTGCTTTGTGTCAAATCAGATTAATTCCCCATTTTATATATTTTATTTAGATAAATCCAATATAAACATTAATGAAGAGAGCCAATTCTGTGAGTTTGGAGAAAATATATAAGGCATACAGACTAAGGAAAATTATGGTGGTTCCCCCTGCCCCCCCCCCAAAAAAAAACCTAAGCAGTTCTGAAAGACCTACAAACCTTTTGGACACTGTAATTGCCACAACCAGAGAGGGTCACTTGTTGGCGTTGCTTTGAGATAGACATCTCAGGATATTATTGATAGGCTTATGAAAGTCCCCCTTCATGATTAATGTCTGGGAGGGGCATAAAAATAATTGTAGAATTAACTGTTTTCCTCTCTGGTTATTACGACATCCAGTGAATAAAGAATTGAGCAGGAAATGCTGCATCACCAGGTTTGCTCACTTGGGAAAATAAAATAGTGTCCTGTTGAGATTTTCAAAGATGGATAGGGATAGAAATAAAGTAGACTTGTTGACAGGTAGGTAGCTGAGCTCCAGAATGGATTACCACATGAAATGACAGTCTTTTGCCCTGGAGATATTTAGGAATAGCATCCCAGTCCATGAGCTCAAAGATGCCAGCTGTCTCCCATAATTCTTGGGTTTAAAGTTGCTGATTAATATCTGACAAGCCAGTAAAATGGAACATGATTGATTGATGTACAAGACACATTCCTTATCCCATTCCTTATAGTTCAAGACATTCATTTTATAGCTGTGAAGTTGGCCAAATTATCTATCAAGGAAAGTACCAATAGATTTATTTTTGTAAAGCTGAAACCCAGAAGTTAAGATCTGTTTTCATGAAACCTTCTCTTGTGTCTTAGTTGTCTCTTACCTGATTCTCCTCCAGCTAGGATTAACAGTATCTCTTTTATTGTGAAATAGCTTTTTGGAACTTTGCATTATGCTTCATACAACATCTTCAAAATTCTTTTCTAATGCCTGTAAGCCTGGCTCTTAATTACAGGCATGGAAAGTCTTCTAAGACTTTTTAGATTCTGCTCTGTGTTCTGTTTCATAGAATAAAAGACAATTAAAATAAAGCCGAAATTAAATAATGTATTCTTTATTTAGCAAACTAAAGAAATAGTATTTGTGACAGATTTGCAATTTGGCATCAGCAGCATCAATGTACTAGACTGTGGGTTATTAATGAAATTATCATACTAGCTGTGCTGTAATTGCCTGATCTTTAGGGGATGGGGGGATTGTGGTCTTAGACTGTAGACCCTTTGCACCTCTGCATAATGAGTTATTCAAAACAAACACTGTATATGACATCATTAGTTCTTTAGTAAAAGAGCATATGTCCATAAGAAATTCATTTTTAATCCCAACAATTTCTCATTTGTCTGTATTTTAGTTTCACCTATATTTGTTGCCATTCAACATTATATTTTCCCTAGTTTATACTTGTAACCTTTTAGGTACCTGCTGGTTATTTATAACTCCCTATATAGAATTTTTCTGAAATTTAGTTTCAGGAAAAACTTGCTATTTATAATTTCATAGAGTTGTGTGTCTCAGAATCATAGTACTTGCTTGAGTTACCACTCTGTTTCCCATTGACCTCCTTCATCAGAACAGCTTTCCATGTTTTCTTGTCTTTTCCCCATTGTCTTTCCATTATCTCTGCCCCATCCCTTACACTGCAAACTTTACAGTGAAAGGATGACACTAGCTAAGTGCCACCTACTACAGCGGGGCTGGACCTGTGTGATGACTCGGGAAAAAAATTTCCTTCATCTTCTAAGAACAAATTCAAACTATCCAGTAAATTGTGGTCCATCTAACTCACCACACAGTTCAGCTGAAGAAGCCAAGTCTGAAATGGTTTTCCTGGTTATCTCTCTAAGTCCTTCCTAGGCATTTTTGAATGAAAGCTTTAAATTATAAATCTAAGTTTAACTGTAACTTCCAAGAGATTTGTTTTGAGAGATTATTTTATATGTACTGATAATGAAGCATTGTTTACAAAGCATCAGAAGTCAAGAGTTCTAGGCAAATAGTAATTTTCAAATGGGAGTAGAGTCTTGTAGAAAAGGCAAAAGGAGTTCAGGTTGGAGTGTTTTGGAGTGTTTCAATTAGGCCCCATTTTAACCCTTGACCTCTCCTCCTCCTTCCATCTTTACACATTTCTTTATCCCTCATCAAATTTTATTTTTTCCCAATCCACACTTATATTTTAAGATTAAAATTAAAAAAAAAAAGTTAAGGGGGAGCTAGAAATGTATCCTAGTGATAGAATACCTGCATAATATACACAGAGCCCCAGGTTGAATCCACTACTGCTACATCCTCCCGTGAAGTGACTAAGATTAAGTTTTTGTTTTTAAACGATACTGGTAATAAAAGAAACAGATTCAAATTAAAAGTAGAAGCCAGAATTCCTTTTGAAGGTGAGCCTTCCTGTAGAGACTTGAATCTGAGAGCCTGAAGTCTGATGATAGCCAGGCTAGCCTGTACTACAAGAAGACCGCAGCTTCTAAGTTAGATGGAATTCTGTGTTTTGCCCAAGAACTAGCTGAGAGTCTTCATTGCCACCAAACTTTCCCAAGAAGGTAGTAACAGCAGTTTGTAAATATAAAAGTTGTACCCAGATAGATCTTTCCTTTTCTTCTTATGTTTATTTTGTATGCTATAATTTTGCAAGAATATACTTTGTTTATATTTTGTTTTTTAATTCTCATACACACTAATGGGTTTCATAATGGCATTTTTACATGTGCTTCCTTTTCTTCATCTTCCTCCCCAAATCTCCTCCCTCTACATGATGCAATCTTGAGTTCCTTAACAAAGCATTTATGTCCAGTCTGAGTAAGTAGCTGCATTACTTAGTGAATCTTAAAATTGTGGCTAGTACACACGCAAACGTACTCAGACCAACAGATCCACATGCCCAGCAGCTGGGTGGAGCACTTTGTTAAAAATTATTCCAAAGGGAGCTGGAGAGATGGTTCAGCAGTCAAGAGCACTTGCTGCTCTTGCAGTGGACCTGGGTTCGATTCCCAGCACCCACATGGCAGCTATGAACCGTCCTTAACTCCAGTTCTGGGGGAATCCAAAGTCCTCTTCTGACCTCCATGGCATTGCATGACATGGGTACACTTACATACATGCAGGCAATACACTCATACACATAAAATAAAAATAATAAATAAAATATTTTTTAAAAAATTATTCCAAAGGAATTTATTGAATCATTAGTTACTCATTACTTATTCATCAAGTAGAAAAATGCCAGCCTTAGACAAAACCGTTTAAATTTGTATTGCTTAAAACCTGAAATTATAGAATCTGAGGAAAAGCTGCTACCAGTGGAGGGATACCTATCATTTGTTGTCACAACAGTTCAGAAGGCAGGTTCACCTAATTCACCTTCCCTCTGAACTTGAAGAATTATAATGCCAGGACAATGCTGATGTGGCTTCTGTGTCACTGCAACTCTTACCTCTAAAAGTCCTCCTTTTCCAGCAAACCTTGGACATTAATGTTGGAGAAAAATTATTGTTAATATCTCTATGATGTTCCTCTTAACTCTTGACTTGTGGCAGGACTCTGCCGTTTTCTGCCCAGCTGTGAAGTTGGAGGGCAGTGCTGCAGAGGAGACTGATACCTTCAGAGCATATGACGTTCTGTTCCAAGTCACAAGTGCAGACCCGAGCCACTTTGCATAGCAGCAGAGGTGATATTACTGTAAGGAAGATGAGGTTGATGCAAATTCTCTCAATCAGTTTGCTAGGGAAAGAGATGGGATGGAAGCCTGAAGTGCACAGCAAAGTGAAAAGCACCTGGCCTTTCCTTTATTTCTAAATGATTCCTCCTAAAACGTTTTCCACTTCCTGTTTCCTACCTTTTTCACTACCATGGACATGTCTATGTGAGTATAAGAAAGGGAAAAAAAGTCCTACTGCTTTCCTTGTATTTTCTATTTACTATACTTTTTGACTTTGTTTACTTTAGACAGCTTGTCAAAC